AGATTTCCATGGTTTACTTTATTAAGCCTGATATTTAATCTGTGTGATTTTGGCTGTGGGCAGGACACTGTCTCTATGGGGTAGTGGGTGGGTAACAGTACAGAAGCTGCAGAGGGGTGGGTTAAACTACGACTCTGCTTCCTGGTCTGGACCCTGGGTTGTCATGGAGGACTAATAAAACTGGCCATATTCCTAGAAAGAAGAGCTGCACCATCCAAAGAGGGATGGATGCCGTCTCCCCGCATCAGACCAGGTTTTCCCCAAAAAGTTTTCCAATTATCAATGTAGCCCACGTTGTTTTCAGGACACCACCTAGACAACCAGCGGTTGAAGGACAGCATGCGGCTAAACATGTCGTCACTGGTCCGATCAGGCAGGGGGCCAGAGAAATGTATGGAGTCCGACATGGTTTTGGCAAACTTGCACACTGAAGCAACATTAATTTTAGTGACCTCCGATTGGCGTAACCGGGTGTCGTTACCGCCAGCGTGGATAACAATCTTACTGTATTTACGCTTATCCTTAGCCAGCAGTTTCAGATAAGATTTAATGTCGCCCGCTCTGGCCCCAGGTAAACATTTAACTATGGTTGCTGGAGTCTCTAATGCCACGTTTCTGACTATGGAGCTGCCAATGATCAGAGTCGGCTTGTCAGTGGGTGCGTCACTGAGCGGGGAAAATCTATTAGAAATGTGGACGGGTTGGTGGTGGCCCACGGGCTGGGTTCTATGCTTCCTGCGTTCCGTCAACCAGCCGGCCTGAGGTCCCGGCTGCTCGGGTTCCACTGAATGGTCGCTACGGGGTTGTTCTGAGCTAGTTAGCCCCGCGCTAGCTAAGTAACTACGGCTGTTTAGAGGTTTTTCAACAGCGCGGAGCCGGGACTCCAATTCCGACATCCTCGCCTCCAAAGCTACAAAAATGCTACATTTATTACACGTACCATTATCACCAGTAGCGGTTTTAGGCACGGGCAGACAGGGCAGTTGCCCGGGGCGGCATTTTTTCATGACACAAAAGGGGCGCACAAGCGCTGAGTAAAAAAAAAAAAAAAAAAAAAAGGAAATCTGCGCCGCACCGAGGTTTTCTATTATCTGTCATATGACAGTGTCTGGATTGGAAACAGCAAGTTGGCGCCCCCTGCAGCTGCAGGCGCTCCGTGCACCGTGTGTGTATGAAGAAGAGGAAGGGGAGGGGTGCGGCGGGGGAATTCACCTCTGGGTGGGTCCAAATGAAATGAGCGGGTAGGGGCTGAATCAACTATCAACATGGCTAAAGTCGATCACATCTTGATGTTCTTCCACATTTCATTCATAATATCATAAACACAGGCCTATCATTCTTTCAGGTGTTTCTGAATTGTGTGAAATGGCCGAATAAAAAAAGGAAAAACAAAACGATTTTGTGGTCACCCCCCCATCAAGGCCAAATTGTTTAGTCCTGACTAAAGGAAACTTATTGAGTCAAGAGCCAAACAGAAGAGATGAACATAAAAAGGCTAAAACCAACAGGTGCCCGATTCAGGAATAAAAAAGAAAAAAAGAGGAGAAAAATAAAGGTATGGTCGCTCTCATGATGAATGTTTTCAATTTTTTGAACCAGTTAACTGGGATTTTAACGGTTAAATCCGGTCAACTAGTTGCTAACAGAGCTAATAGGGCTGAAATATTGAAACGAATATTCAAATGGTTCGAATAAATTCCTTGAATCGTTTTTTATTGATTCAAACTAGGATTTGTTAAATGCTCGCTGCAGCCTGTGGCCTGCCTGAACAACAACAAACACATGTTGATCAAGTTCACATAATAATAAATAAAACAACTCTACAAGCAGAAGAAAACACCCCAGTCACCACTAACTATCCTGTTTATTTATTGCAGATGGCTGCACTGATTATTTTTTACATGATTTGTTCTGTAAAAGTTGGCATTTTTGGTAGTCTACAGTTTTTTTTATGTCAGTTTAAATTACAATTTCAGAGGCAATTGTAAAATATTATGGATCATGAGATCTATTGGAGATCTACCCCAACTTTTGGACTGCTCTGCCAGTCACTGTGGCTCAAGCTGAGAGGAGCTTTTCAAAACTTGATCAAGTCATACCTGAGGTCAACTATGTTTCAGGGGCAGCTCACTAACCTGGCTCTGATTAGTATCAATCACTCAGTAGGGGAGCAGATTTCATATGATGACATTATTGATGACTTTGCATCAAGGTTAGGTTTTAATTTTAGTTTGTGTTTTCTGTTCTAAGTGCAGTGCTGTAGTGATTATCTTTAGTTTGTTATGTGTGAAATATTTTTGCTATTTAGAATATTTATTATATATTATGTGCATATATTCTTAATATTTAGTTAGTTTAGTTGTTTTTGTATATTTGATTCTATATATTTTGATACAGTGTATAATGTATATTGCTTTACATTCTGACAACTTCATAGTAATTAATGTAAATATGTGCAACTTAGAAAAATGAATGTTCAATAGTCGTTCTAATAAAACATGCCTGTTTATGGAAAACGTGTGTGTTCGTGCAGGTGGGGTGGTGTGGTGGTGGTGGTGGGGGCGGTTGGGGGGGCGCTCAAAGGGGGCCTCGCCCGGGGAGTAATTCCATGTAGAACCGCCACTGATTATCACTAAAGGAGGCAGAGGAGTAACTAAACATCTGACACAGAGAGCAAGAGATAGGAGACGGAGAAGCAGAGACAGAAGTAGCCATAGCCGTGCTGAGGCTAAGCTAACTGGACGAGCAGCAAACTGTTCAGTACCAAATAAACTGCGTGCGGACTCAAATGGTTCCCTAAAAGCTAGGTGGAACAACAGAAAATGTGCGTTTTAGCGTGCTTTTGTGCTACAATAACTCAGAGATATCCAAGTACAGAGAAATTAAATCAGCTTTAGCGAGCCCCAAACACCAAACAGCTACACGGAGTGCAACACTGAAAACAGGAAACAGGAAACGCCTTACCGCTACCGCTGGTAGTGTGGATAAGTTTATGACAAGTTAAACTAGCTTTTCTCAGAACGAACGGTTTTCATTGGCTTTTGTTAAGATTACTACTGAGCGTGATGAGACACACGCATTTGACCCTCTTCACACGCTCTCACACCACACCTCCAATATCTCACGTTAAACCAGCACTTGTGCTCCCCAAGCGTGCATCACACACAGTGTGTAGGATTTATGAAAAAACAGATTATATTAATTATAGCATTATTTATGATTTATGGCTCTTTCATGGGAGCCGTTCATTAGTCTGTCGTTTACCTCAAAGAGCCGTTCAAAAGACTGGTTCCTTTGAGGGTGTGGATGGGGGGTGGGGGTGGGGTGGGGGGGTACCTAGAGCAATGTGTTCCTGCGGTGTCCGTGAGGGCGCACGGGGTTGGTTAGGGTTCCTCCTACGTTCGTCACGGTGCGCTTAACCGACTTCCGGGGAGGTTTGTTTCCGGAAGACAAGATGAACTGCTCTCTACAGGGACTCGGCTCTCATCATTCACTTTGAAAACCCGTTCAAAAGATTTGATCCGTTCGTGAACGTCACATCACTACCCAAAACCGTGAGCTGCGGCTGCGTGCGCCGCCCAAATGACGTGCTTGAAATGCTAGAAGTGCTATAAATGCAGCTGCGTCGCCAGCCGGTGTTGACGGAGCTTCAGTCCCAAATGTTTTTCTTTTGTTTTCATTCATCAGCCACAGATGGCTGCGCTCGCTCACAGCAAGCTGGGCTTCCTACCGTGGTGACTCCCTCACATGTTCCCTCTCCAACATCAGTTGGTGACGAGATGAATTACCACTTCACCAGTGTGCTTTTCCTGCTTGTGAGACAAACCCCTCCTCCATAACCAGGTTACTGGTACTGAAGCCTGGAAATGCCAGAATTGCTCAAACATTTTTTCCCCTACTGGCTGATATGAATTAATATAATAGAATAGAGTACATATTATTAGTCCCACAGTGGGGACATCCACTCATTACAGCAGCACACACACTTAGAGACACAGATTACAGTAAAACTGATTCCAGACATGATAACTTCAATAACTTCATGCTGATGAACACGTGAACATAATCCTCTGTTTAGTGGATGCAATTACATCATGAAGTTAGCTTAACATGATAGATTTTTTTCCTTGGCAGGAAATAATAACTGATAATATTATGAATGATATGATATAACCCCCCCCCCATGGAATTTAAACATTTACATTAATTATAATTAATAGTTCCTGTGTGACATGTAGCTGTAACTCTTTACTGCTAGATAGATAGATAGATAGATAGATAGATAGATAGATAGATAGATAGATAGATAGATAGATAGATAGATAGATAGATAGATAGATAGATAGATAGATAGATGATAGATAGATAGATAGATAGATAGATAGATAGATAGATAGATAGATAGATAGATAGATAGATAGATAGATAGATAGATAGATAGATAGATAGATAGATAGATAGATAGATAGTTTGAAGAAGTTCAGGAGAGATGGATGTTAAATTTTCCTCACGAAAAGAAAAATTGTAGTAAACAAAGGTCAGTTCCCTCTGTAAAGTCTGAGGTACTGAAAAGAAAAAAAAAGGAAAGAAAGAGAAATCGGACTTTTTTCTCAGAATTCCCTGTCAGAATTCTGAGAAAAAAGTAAGATTTCTCTTTCTTTTCTTATTTTTCTTGTCAGTGGCTCTAATATTCTTCAACAGAGTAGAAATAAATAAATAAAATGTAGAGCTCAAAAAGTCTCTATAATAATGGCCCCACCCCCACCCCCACCCCCCCATCCCCGCTCTAAACGGTCGCCGAATTGTCCGCTCCCTTCCCCATGACCCTGTCTCATTCTTTGAAATGTTGAAAAGTTGGCAGCCCTGCACCAAGGTGAACGTGGTTTTGAATTCTAGAGCCCCTTTATTATGTATGAGGTATGTAGTGCATGGTGGTGGATGAGACCAAACGTCGTGACATGAGCATTTTTAGACACAGACTGGGGTTATGTGGTGAGCACCTGCGCTTATGCTGTGAAGTGGTGGCTGCTGGGTCATTCTCAGCTTCACACATGAACTGGTGAGGGTGAGCAGATCTGGTGGAACAGTTTCAATGTCTGAACAAACAGCAGAAATGAACAGGTTACACAGCTGCAAAAACAAATTTCCATTAAACCTTATGCTGATTCTATTTATTACAACATTCATCACAATTTTATGTTCATGAAATTCAATTAGCATGAAATTCTGTTGTATTTTTGATACTGAGGTTGTTTATAAAAAGCAAAAATCCATAGCCCTTATAGGATTAGCCGTTAGCTCCTCTGTCCAACAAGAAATCAACAACAGTTCTAAATTAAATGTTCCTGACACTTCTACCAAAAACCTTTCAAAGCACATGAAATATCACTCAACCAAACATAAATATTGCTGCACAAGTGACATGCACAGCAGCTTAAGTCAACATGCATACGCTATTTTCTTCCTACAGAAAAAGAGAAATAGTTCAAACTTCTGTCCACATTTACTTTCACTGTCTGCAGCTGCCGTTTTGAGATGAGTGGCTTGGTGGTGATACACATTGAGAAACCTCTGGCCACATGCGAACAGCATCACCAACATGTTTGAGTTGAGATAATCAACACAAAACTGACAAGGTTTGAAAACATCATCCTGATTCTTGAACTACAACACTGCTCTGTCACAGATAATCGTGCATTTAATTTGCGCTCAGAGGTTGAGCTCCCAGCCAGAAAAATCAGCTAAAAGCATAAACTGGATTTAAAGGTCACTGACTATCACTGACCTCTAAATCCAATATGGCTGCCTTGTGTACAATAAGCTGTGATAGCGGCATGACTGAACCACCCAAAAGGCTTCCAGTGCTAGATCAGGTTTTCTGAACTGGTAGTTGAATAAAAACAAACTTGAAGAAATAATAAGGACTTGTCATCCCATATCCCTTCCTGTACTCACACACAACCTTTTTATTGTGACGACACCACCGTCTCATTGGGTCTTTATTTGTTTGTTTGTGTTTAATTGTGTTCTTTTCAGTTGCAGGCAGCCCGTTAGGCGGCCTTGGAGGCACCTGGGCTCAGGGTGCGGGGCTGCCAATAAAGCCTGCTGGTTCCTGTTTGCCAGGGACTCTCCTGTGTGGTGGAGAGTCCTCCCTGGCCATCTTGTATTGCCCTTAAGATTGCTTTAGTGCGGGGGTCGGCAACCCACGGCTCTGGAGCCGCATGCCGCTCTTCCATCCATCTGATGTGGCTCTCTGTGCTTGTAAAATAATGAATGAATATTTAAATACAATGCTTTATATTTTACATCTGTATGCCAATTCTAAATGTAAAGATTGTCTGCGTAAACCTGAACGGTTCCAGCCCAGTCTTACTGTGAGACCGGGTTGACGCGTCACGCTTGTGCGTAATCATATGCGCTTCCTGAGCTGAAGAGAATGTGAGATTCTGGGCTTCTCCTCAGACGGCTCCTGGATGTGTCGCCACATTGGAGACAGGAACAAGCGCTATTCAGCCAAAGTTTCATCATCAGGGAACATTTTTAAGTGGCAAGTCTCGCTTCAGCTGGAGGAATCTTCCTGCATGCGCTCTGGTTCTGCGACGCGCTCCAAGCCCCTCTCCACATCTTCAGCTCGCTGTGGACCTTATGTAGTACACGCTGACAGCGAGCTGCGCTGAGCAGTGTCCAGCTCAGATGTTCAGATGGGAATCTTTTCTTGAGTGATTTAGCTACATCTGCGATGTGCGTAGAATAAAATGTCAGTTCGTCTGCATGCGTCGGGGTAATTCTTTCTATTCTTTCTCCGTCAAAATAAACGGTCAAATACGGGAACTATCCAGTCAGCACAAGCCCTGCTTTTAACTGTTCTGTTTTCTTGTGAAAATTGTTGCAAAGAGATCAAATTTAACTTGATTACCACCAGAGCCAGGTGCACTGCGCCGTTATCTCCGTCACTGTAAATGAGGGAAAAACAAAATGATCGGATCCTTTTCTGACCTTCCCCACCTACAAAGTTTAATTACAACAATCAAACGTGACAGAGCCTGGATTTGTATTCTGAACAGTCTAAACATGTTTTAAAAAGAAACGTATGACAAAAGGGGCACCTGCTCAGTAAAACCACCAACAGGGTGAAAAATATCAAAATATTGTAGGCAGAGACGGGCTACAACTTCTGGATCCACTTCATATAAATCGTTTTATTGATTATCGTCTTATGAAAGATAACTTTGACGTACACGAGCGACCGGTACTGGCTGCTGTCACCTGTTGTGAGCAGCGCTCTGCTGTCTGAGGGTAGGCCCCGCCCACAACGCCGCGGCTGCTGTGGCTCCCAGTGTTTTCTTTACTGTGGGAAACGGGTAATAATGGCTCTTTGATAGGAACAGGTTGCCGACCCCTGCTTTAGTGGTTTTCTTAGTTTCTACCAATGAAATCCATTTGTTTGATTCTCCACTCCTCGGTTTGGCCTCCCTTCTTGTTGCAGCCCACAACTCCTAGACAGGGTTGTAACATTATTCAATGCTTAAGCGTTGCGTAACGTAATGGAGGTGCTTTTCCTGCAAGCTTAGCAGAAGCAAATGTATCGATTGAACAAGTGAACCACACCTTCAATGGAAATAAATGTTGCAATGTCTCCAGATTAGCTTTATGCTATCAACTCACTGTTTGTGGTGAGTTTGTGGATGGCTTCCCTCCATTCTTCAAGTTCATACAGGGAAGAGAAGCAGAGAGTATGACTCTAGAAAAAGACAAATATATATTTTTATTACTTTGATCTTTGGTCAGGAAGTTTAACAAAGGCATTTAGATGTGCACCTTCCCACTAGGACTGTGCAGCTCCAGCTGGTACACCGGAGCGTACGTATACAGCATTAGCTCCAGATGTTCCAGTTTCTTCCTGCTCCGAGCATTCATAGCCATCAGCCTGGGACCTCTCTTTAGACAGGGACATGTTTACTCTTCACTGATTCAACAAAAAGACTCATCAATCCATTCTCTATAACACACACCGTGTGTTGTTGTAACTGCTGTTGCAGGATGAACATCTTGGTCCGTAAGTCGTGTAACCGGATATTTATGTCAGAAGAACGTTTCTTATCCGCGGTCCAGCGGAGCCTGAGACCAGCGAGAGGGAGATACCAACAGAATCTGTACTGCTCCTGTTTCCTGGAAGAAAAGCAACATGTTTTCGTCATCACTGCAGACATTACCCACAACCCCCCGTGTATTCTGTTGCTAAACTCACCCTTTGACTGCATGCTTGCATCTGGTGCACAGCAAGAGGTCGGTGTAGAGGAAGAGGTGACGCAGGCTGCGCACCCCTTCGTTCACATCCACAACAAAGCCGTCACGCATCAGCTGACGTCTCTGTCAGAAGACACGCACGTAGATGTGCTGAATACTGCTGCACAGTTTTTTTTTCTTGTTACTCTCAGATGCTGAAGTGCAAGAGACTCACCATGCCATGACTGAGCGTGACCCCACATTTACTCTGTGAACTCTCGTTGACACCTGAAAGGAAGCTGCGAGACAGTCTTAGTGCTTCCTGTAAGGCAGCATTATCTCTGTGCTCCACAGGTGTCGTCTTTAAGAGGTCCTACAAGAAAACCATCAGTCAACAGACAAATATAGGTATAGACCGGACTGCTTTATGGATTAGGATGGATGGTTTGTTCGTCTCACACGGAGTGCCAATGTGGTTTTGGTTACTCTGTCCAAAGGCTTGTACAGCAACGCTGTAAACAAAAAAACTACCCATCAGATGCTGACAGGATCCAATGAGTCCACCAGGAACACACATCTATTGGCCCTACCTTCTAACGTGTACTTCGTCCGTGCCTTTTCTACACCGTTGTTGGACATCAAACTCTGAGGACAAGCAGCCTCTACATTAATATTGAAGCAGCTTTCTGATTGAGTGTTTCTGCGGAGGAACGGAGTTTTTAAATACCTCAGCAAGAGTGCGAAAGCGAGGGTCCGACTGTGTGCACTTCCTGACAACTTCCACAGCCTTCTCATAGTTTTCAATGAACCCTCCGTAGAGGCTGAGGTGATTTACCTGGAACAAAAACAGATGTTTACGTCAGGCTTTTGCATTTCTTCATACATCACAAACCCAACGCGATTCACAGCTTAGTTATGATACAGTGAGCCTGATTATTAAAAGCTTCTATGTTCAGTCTCAGGAATGGCTGGTACAGTGAGCCTGTAGGGCTAAGCCCTTCATGGTGCAGTGAAAACACTCAAAGACCTAATAAATGCTAATGAAACCATGCTAGATCGGGACAATAAAACAACAGCAACATACATCTCAGAATAAATGTTCCTGGTTAGACGGTTTGATTTGAACCTTTGGTAGAAAGTACTTAAGCTGGCGATAATAAGACTAGTTCCATGAGTTTTGGGCGTCTTTTTCACAAAATGTGCAACTACCAATTGATGATGTCACACTCTAACTTTTCTAATTTTTAGGCACTAGGTCTTTTCAATAAATAGTTATTTATTTTTATTTTTATAAATTTCAGTAGGCCATTTTTGCCCGTTTGTACTGCCCTCAACATCCAGATCATATTCTCTTTTCTTCATACATGACACTGCTGCTTTTTCAGATGCCTTTTATCATCGGATTAGTCTGTGTTTTGTTCCATGACATAATTTCCTCATTGACATATATAGTATATTGTCGCTGGTGCTGCAAGGTTGTTAAGAGGTCCCAAGCAAAAAAGACCCATTGTCCAGCATAGACTAGGAAGCATGTTGCCCTTTCTTAATCCGCGTGGAGTGTTTTAGGGGTGCAGCATCTGACATAAACGTTTGTCTGCCATCTGTGTGAACCTGGGAGCCCCAAGCAATTGCCTGCCCTGCCTATAAGCATGCAGCACCTCTGTACGATGTGTATCCCCACTCTGAATACCAAAGGTAAAGTCCAAGTGTTGCAAACACTGATCGATCCAAGCTAACTTACCAATTTCAGAAACAAGTCCCCAACCTCCAGGTCGAAGTTTCTGCATTTCAGTCCTGCCTCCTCGTCGGTACCGAGCTCTGTCTGGCTCTGAGCGTTCAGACGGTCCTTCAGACCGGAGCAGAAGCTTTGATGAACATCTCTGAGCTCAGGAACTTGGTAGAAAACGGTCTGTACCTCTTGGCTGGACAGAACCGGCTGTGAAGTCCTGGCTGAGGCACGCAAAGCCTTCATGGGCTGAAGAGAGACAGATTCAGAGATAAAGTTCAGACATTTGAGATAACAACATATGTGTGCTCAAGAAAAACTGGTTGTGTAAGAACAACTTAACTGTATGAACACAGATTCCCTTATTGATAACATTCTCTTGACCTAAACTGAAACCCGCTTGGACAACACAATACCACACTTAATGAGCAGTAGGAATGAACAAATTTAAATTAAACACCAAAGAAAGTTTTCCCAGTAATTTTCTCATTTATGTGGCAATTCATTTTTGTTTAAAAGTCACAGTAAATGGATATGGGAAACAAAAGTTTTCAATGTTATTAATAGTAGGAAAAAACAGAAGTAGGTACCCAAGCACATGTCTTTACACAATCATTTTCCGCCCTAAAGGGGAAACATAATTATTGTGTTCATTGTCATTTTGGTTTTGAGATATTATTATAACAAGTCAGTGTGACACACGATAGAGATACACCTCTTTTATTTATTTCCCTGCGCTGACACCATCAGGCTTCCGTATAAATACCAAAACTCAGAAGACTTCACAGCTGTTTAAAATAAAGTTTTATTTTTCATGTTAATCTTTTATTGTAAACGTTTGTAATCTCTGAAAGCTGAATGGCCATTAAACTATTTCCTCAAAGACTTGCAAATATTAGTTATGGGACAACTTTTAAAAGGGTTTTAAGGATTCAAAACCAAATGTACATTTTCTGTTGTTGAATATAAGCAGCTTGGAGTGTCTAATGCAGCATACCACAAAGTCTGTGCTGACCTGCTTTCCTTTGCAAATTAGTAATGCAGTAGTGCACGGAGAAATGGTTTGTTCTGAGAAAAGCTGGTGTAACATGGCATAGTCATAGACATACAAGCTTAAATTTGCATGCCCCAGCCCACTTCACTGCCAACAATATGTACAGTGATCCCTCGCTACTTCGCGGTTCGTTTATCGCGGATTCACGACTTCGCAGATTTTTTCTTTGGAGCCTTATTCAAGGGAAATTCGCCGATTTGCGGTATTTTTCACCGATTCGCGGTATTTTTCTATGCGAAATATCAAGAAATTCCTGTTTTTTTCATCAATTTCATCATAAAATGCACTTTTTGTAATAAAACTACAAAAAAAAACAAGTACATTTTTTTTCTTGAGTTTTACCCACAAAAAGAGAATGTGATCATACGATAATTCAATATAGTACTGTACTGTAAATATGGTGTCCCTACTTCGCGGATTTTCACCTATCGCTGCCAGGTCTGGAACGCATCTACCACGATTAACGAGGGATCACTGTGAACGTTGGTGCCGCGGTGATGCTAACTGCTGAACAACACTAGCCCTAGCTACTGCTAATGCTAGCCCGAGCTACTGCTAGTGCTAGCTCTATCTACTGCTAATGCTAGCCTGAGCTACTGCTCACACAGACATATTTACGTAGACGCCTCGTGGACTGGTGCTACCTACTGGAGCTGCCGTAGGGGCCGGCCGTCATTTTAGATGGGTCTCCATTTGGCCCCAGTGCATTCATTTCTACTGAGCAAGGCGCTTACTCAACTAAAAAAACACATTTTATCATGCTTTTTCACAAAAGCAGACACAAGATATGACATGATAATTAAAATATAAATATAATCAAACAAAAGGAATTTAAATGTAAAATCCCATCGGGTAGGTTAGAAAAGTCACTGGTAATCCTACGTGATCTGTTTTCAATAGTACGCTCGTTGTTGTAACCGTAGGCTGCACAAAAAAACGGGCATAGTTTCCCACTCTGCATTGACTGGAGAGTGAGGAAACTCATCCAATATGGCGGTGACGCTGTTACACTCTCCAGCTCCCAGTGGGGCGTCTACGTAGTCATGTCTATGGCTAGCCCTAGCTACTGCTAATGCTAGCCTGAGCTACTGCTAGTGCTATCCCATAGTGCTAATGCTAGCCCGAGCTACTGCTAATGCTAGCCCTATCTACTGCTAGTGCTAGCCCATACAGCTAATGCTAGGCCGAGCTACTGCTAATGCTAGCCCTATCTACTGATAATGCTAGCCTGAGCTATTGCTCACGCCTTACTTAGATGAGCGGAAAGCCAAAAAATTTTTGGAGCACCACTCATGATGTCATGAATATCCAGACTTTGAATGAATGTCAGATAGATCCATAGCTTGCCTACGGAGTTATGCTGATACTGTGCATGGCTTTACAATAAGGTGCTAGCTGCATGGACGTAATTTTTTGGGGGGACATGTCCCCCCCACTTTTTCCAAAGTCAAGTTTTGACCCCTGCACTTTTTACCATCCAAAAACAATATTACGCTATATTAAATTGACACTGGTTGAGCTCTAGGACCATGCGGAAAACAACCGTTTGTGTTGAAGCCTGTTCACCATTAGAGCATACTGTAAAGACACCCCCGTGTCCCCCCACTTCTAAAGTAAAAATTACATCCATGGCTAGCTGATGGATCATAGAGCCATCGTGGTAAACCAGCCAATCAGCACACAACTCATTTCATATTCCTGTCCTGGCTGAGTGAGCAGGCTAAAGGAGCCTTTCTGCTGTAGGGCTTTATTATGGGGTTGTGTTTGGCCATTTATCAGGGCTCCTGTGCCATTTTGAGCCCCAACAAAATCTCAAATGCTCAAAGAGCAGTTTCCAAAAATAAAAACAATTGTTTTAGGACCCTTTTAAAGCCCAGTTAGCACATTAATTGGGGGGATTTCAATAATCACATCAGTTTATGGAAGTTTGATGAAAGAAGTTAGTTTTCATGTCTGGAGAGAAAGCTCGCCTTTAGTGGTTCTTAGTCAAACTACACTTTGACATAGATTTGCTTGTCAATTAAACAGTAATTCAGCTAGGGTAATAAACAGTAAATAATATGTCATAAAATACTAGACATACACACACACACACTTCTCTTTTATCATACTGCTGTTTGTGATCTTCATAAATGCTCAAGGTTCCTGTTTAAAGTTTCCCCAATGTACGGTTTCCATTCTGAGCTACAGTTACAGTGACTAGAAATGCTTCAGCCTTTTGAGAAAAAACAGGAACCTAATATGTGATAGTGAACAACCCATAAAGAGGGAAGACGTGATACCAAAGGTTTCTGAGGAGCAAGCATTGGTTTTCAAAAAGACATGATTCTAAACACAAACACCGGTGCATTCGTGTACATTTATAGTAAACTGGTCAGATTTTGATACCGAACGAGGGACATTTGTGGTCATTATGGGGAATAAATTAGTGTTACCATGAGCAGGGCATCCAGCTCTCTGAGATAGACCTCTTCACTCCCCAGGATGCCCTTTAGGACCACAAGTCTCTTCTCCAGCAGCTCCTCTGTGCTCAACAGAGTCTGGATCAGTAGTGACAGGAACGTTTTTGTGAGAGAAAAAAAATGCATCAGTTCCTGCATTATGACTCACTTATTTGGTGATTTCTGAGCATTCATGTCCATAAAATCTCACTTTGTGCAGATTAAAGTGAATTAACATCACATGTTCATGTTTACTGAAAGCTGGTGCTTCTCTGAAGTGAGTTCCCTTCCTCTTAATCTGTTTGGTTTCCCTTAAAGTGACTAAAATGTTCTAGTAAGTGAATAACGTGGACTATTTCTCCTGTAAAATATATGATACATCCTAGGAGATTTGTCTTTTTTTAAATGCAAGGATCTTATGTTTCCACATTAAGCCTTTAGATCCTTATCAATATTCCTGCAGTTATTATGGAAATAAACCTGGTGAAAGGCTAAATGCCCACTAGAGACAACAAGACACCGGACGGTCCGATGAGTGATATGAAACGTTTGGCGTGGGAGAAACACAAAACTCACAGGGGTGTCGGGGAAGTCTACGCTCTCAGTGTTCAGAGGGGAGAGAAAACAGGACACCACCTCCTCATGGAAAACATCCTCCAAGGCGTCTGCCTCTGCCTCCACTGCAACAGATGCACAGACATAAACATCTGCACACATCTGTCAGGACAATTCATCGTTCCCATGCAGACGACAGCAGTCATTGTAAATACTGCTCACCTGGAACATGGTGCGTCTCCAGATAATCCACCGCCTCTTGGTAGACGTCCATGATGGCAGTCCTGTCCTGATAAGCTCAGACAGAGGACTGTGGCGATGCAACATGTGAACACGCTCAGAAGGGGACAGAAAAAACTTCCTCTTTCTCTTCTGGACGAGCAAAAGGGGAAAATACAACTTCCTGTTTGACTGAAACTCTGTTCAAGACAGAGAACTGGTGTGTGATGATGTTCAGACATGACATTTCGCCTCGACTTCCTATGAAAGACAAAACTGGCCTCATCAGTAGATGCATATGTGAGTTAACCTGCTAAAGGTTAGGAAAGCTCATTTAGGCCACAGGTCTTAAGGACTTTAGTTAATAATAATGATGTAAAAATAATAATTATAAGTTCTGTTTAAAGATTATTTTGATCGTGTTGCAGGTTTCACTTTCAGGTAATTGAAAATAATAATTTAAAAGCATTATTATGATTTAACATATAAACCAGTTGCTGCTTATTCCCCTATGTCTTGTTAATACAACACTGCCATCTGCAGGATAAACAGTGTTAGTGCAGCTTCATGAATTAAGCTTTAAAGTGACAGTGTGTGTTTTTCCTGGCAGTAGGGGACAGTAGATACCTAAATATCTGCAATCAAGCAGTTATTTTTTGTGTTGGAATAAGACCTTGCCAAGGGATGCCCATTAGGGTCAGAAAGTCTTGTGGAGTGCAAACTTTAGCAAAATAACGAGCACATCAGACTCCCTTTCATCACTGGCACCAAGTGAATAGGTAAATGTATAAAACAACATTTAAGAATGATGAAAGTTTTGTAACTGTATGTTACAAATCAGTAAATGCATTTTGTCCTCATGGGCTCCCATAGAAGGAAACATGGCATCTAATATGGCGTCGCCCAGAGACTTAGACCCGCTCCCATGTATTGTACACATGATTTTTATGGTTATATGTTATGAAGCCGCCAATATTTTTCAACAACTGGGCATCATTTCATTCATTTTCAACAACATTTTGATGGATGTTTCCAGAGATTAATGGTAAAAACTACACATCGTCAGAGAGTATAAGGACCCACCTTTCGTCAAGGTTTTTGACAGGTCTATTGTTCTTTGACCTAATGACCTTGGCCCCCCCGCCCTAGCATAAATCAGATTGGCAGGTATATTGTCACTAGTCTCTTTTGTGAAGATCTATATGATAAGATAACCACACAGTTCCCACGACCCGCTCTCATTCTTACGTGACCCTATATGTTAAGAAAATGAATTTTGTGCAATGGCGCATGAAATCCTTTATTGTGAAGATGTGTATTGTTGATCTGCACCATTTTAGTTACGCTTGATAACTGTTTTGTGTTAGCCTTTCACACGTGAGACCCTTTTGTCCAGATGTATGTTGTTGATCTGCACTGCTTTGAGTTAGCCTCACTGTTCCCAACCATCATACGTGAGACTCCCACCACCCCTGCTTGCCTTTATAAAAGCTCAGATTCATGTCAAGGGACACTGTTCACACACACACACACACACACACACACACACACACACACACACACACACACACACACACACACACACACACACACACTTTAAATTAATGTTTAACAACTGCTAGATTTAATTCTGAAATTTACACTCAATTGTTGTGACATTTAAACATAAAGAGACCATTTTTGTTTAAAGACACATCTGTGAAAACAGATGTGATCATGTGAGCAGTACTGCAGAGGGTATATGGTGGATCAGATGCTCAAATTTACTAAAAGACGCCACATCCAGTCAGTTTTGACACTATGATTTGCTCATACATTATTTTTTTTTATCCATCACAATTACGTAGGAGGAGAAATCGGCGCCTCACTCCACTTCAAAGAACTAACCGGATGAAAATGGCCTACCTGCTTCTACAAATTAATTACGGTCTGATGGAAATAGTGGGAGACGTGCTGTCATTGTAACGAGGATCTGCGGTTTTATTTTTCTTCATTCATCAACTTTATAGTAGGTTTTGTTTCTTTCTATATATCATGAGTCATACGTCTGAAAATGGTGATCAGCTGACTGATTGGTTTGATGGACTTTCAGATCTGTGTAAAGATCTGTGTGAAGATCTGTGTGAAGATGAGTTACAGTTTTAGTCCATTGCTTGAACACACTTTGCAAAACTTGGCGCATGGTGCCAAAACTCCACACACAAGGAAGTACGGAAGAAAACTGGGAAATAAACCATTCACATCTATCCCAGATACAAACTCCGCCATCAAAACTGAACAATCCTCTGTCAAAACCTCACTTTGATGACTAAATGATGCCCACTTCCACATGTCAATACACTCTCATATCTGCTGCAACACACTAGTCTACTTTAAATAAAACACTGCAGTCTTTCACTTGTACTGTATTTATTCAGTTACAATTCCAGATGTTTCTCAGAATTCCAAAAATAAAATACTGAAAACAACATTACTGCAATTACATTACAGTAGTGAGATTCATATGACAGGAAATTCAGTTACTGTAAAGCAAAAATAAAACAAACTGAACTTCACACAAAAGAAGTTACATGTATGGATCCTGCCGTCTGTCGGGGTCGGGCCACAGGACCTCGTCCACATCACAAGCAATATCTTCTCCGGCTAAACATTGGGGAAAAAATCCCCTTGTGTGTCTAATCCATCCCTGAATTGACCTGATTTCAATATCTCCGCAGGCCTGTTCCATTGCTTGTGAAAGTGGCATTCGGGCGTGGGGTTGGCGGTCATATACGCGCCATCTCCATGCTGAAAAGAACTCCTCTATAGGATTCAAAAATGGGGAGTAAGGGGGCAAGTACACCACTTCAAATCCTTCATGATGAGTAAACCAGTCTTGGACCAGAGCAGCCCGGTGGAAACTAACATTATCCCACACAACAAACCTGGGCTGCTCTGGTCTATTCTGTATGACGATGTCATGTAGACCATCAAGAAATGTGAGTATTTCCTGTGAATGGTAGGGCCCCAATTTGGCATGACGGTGCAGTAGCCCTTGAAGGCTAATGGCAGCACACAATGTAATATTTCCTCCACGTTGCCCAGGGACGTGCACAATTGCCCTTCGGCCAATAAGATTACGCCCCCGTCGTCTGTTTTTTGTCAGATTGAATCCAGCCTCATCGATGTAAATACACTCATGAGGCTGAGCAGCTCCATCCATGGCGAGCTTTCTCTGCAAGAAAAAGTACATATTACTGTACTGTACAGTATTGTATGGATGGCATTACTCAAAGTACACAACTACACTGATACAGAATTGAACCACCTCATCACACAGGGGCCGGTTTAGCTTTCTGAATATACAGTGTCAATGTGGTACTGATCCAATGGTACAGACTCAGCTATTTGACTGCTCCTCTTTTGTATTGTAAATGTAGAGGACTGAAACACTTACCTGTACGTATTCACGTCGAAGTTCCTTCACTCTGGCATTGTTCCTTTGAAATGGAACCCTGTACAGTTGTTTCATTGTAATATGGTGCTTTGTCAAGATGCGTCTAATGGTGGTAATGCATACTGTATTTATATTGCCAAAACTCTGTCTATCTGCAATTATGTGACTCTGTAGCTGGTGGAGACGGATCGCATTATTTGCCCTGACCATGTCCACTAATGCAAGTTCTTGTTGTTCAGTAAATAGGCGTTGACGTCCACCGCCAGTAGGTCTTCTGATCATTCTGTAGAAAACAATGCAACCAGTATTTGGAATCGTTTTGTTCTATTTTTCAGTACTATACAAACTGTATTTTACTGTATTTACTGTACTTGTATTACAGTACTGTAAAACATCTCAAGACATGATTATAGGTGTCACAACACAAGGAGCCACCCTTCAGTACAGTACTGGTGTAACAGTACATGTACGTTACATATACATGTAAGATGAGACAGTACTGTAAATACTCAAGCTACATTACTGTAGTAGAGGAATTGAAGACATACCTGTTTTTCTGTCTGAATGTCCTTATGATGGATGCGACCGTGAAACGGCTAAGATCGGGGTGGACTCTCTGTCCAGCTTCCCTCATGGTCAGACCATAGTTTATGACATGGTCTACCACAGTTGCCCTAATGTCATCAGAAATTATGGTCCTTGCACGGCCTCTTCGTCCACGTCCTCCTCTTGCTCTGCCCCTAGCTCCCCCCCCCCCCCCCCCCCCTCCATGCTGGCAAGTTCTCCAAAATGGCTTAGCTAAGGCCTTTTTGTAGCTGACTGATTTGTGTTCAGTTTTGTTAGTAATTGTTTTCAATGACAGACTGTGTTTTGTATTTTGAATAGCTGTGTTTTCCCAATGGTACTGCGAGATTTACTTTTTGAACAAAGTGTCTTATGTATGAAATAGTGTGTTGTGAGCAGGAGCAAGTGTGTTGTAGAAAGGAGCTAGTGTTTTGCAGAATTGCAACCAAAGTGCAAAGCAGCACTTTTGTCTAAGGTATGGTTACACTTTGTTTAAGGCAGAGCCACAACAACTTCGAGTTGGGTTCCTTTGGTTTTAGCATCTGTCAATCGTGTTTAAGCAAATGGCTAAAACTGTAAAACCATGCGAATAATGTCCATAAAGTGGAAATCTTAAACTAATTCATTTTCAGCTACGTAAAGACATTTGTGTTGCCGCTGACTGGGGTAATCGATCTTGCATCCGTGGCAGATTGTAGGGAAGTGAGCTTTGATCGCCATGTTGACCAAGTGAAGAAGACGCATTTTCACTCAGTCTACTTTGTCTTCTGAAAACACCCAGTCAGGCAGACGCTGAAGCTCCTCATCGGTGCTCTGGATGTCGAGGGGTTGCTGTTGCTCACCGTCCTCCTCCTCCTGACCAGGTTGAGGCGGAACCGGTGGCGGCTCAGGGTTTGATGTTACTGAAGGTTGAGCGGTATCAGGACTTGCTGGAGTCTCGTCGACCCAGGGTCGGAATGGTACGTTAGCAGAGACGGTCTCCGGAACCTCCATGATTGTGGGGAGTTGTGGTAGGTTATCCTCCAGAAAGCATGATGGCGGCGACGTGGGCCGCGGACTGCCGTTGTATCTCGGTGGTGATGAAGCCGTTAGTACCCAGCTCGGTTGTGGGTTCCATAGTTCATCAAGGGTCGTCTGATTGTAGAACCCCATCATGCTGATGCGCTAGATCATCTGGATGAAATGGTTTCTAACTGTCAGCTCTTTATAAGTAGTGCAAGGTGGGGGCGTGGTTTGATGATGCGGTTGCCGCTCCTCCTCCTCCTCCTCCTCCTGCTCCTGAGGCAGGTCTTAGAATTCTAGCTTTTTTTGCAGAATGCATATATATATATATATATATATAT